GAAAAGTGATAACAAATAAACTACGTGGTAAAGCTCTGCAGGTGATAGAAACGCTGATTGAACCATCTTTTGAGGATATAATTTCAAAATTAAAAACCGAATTTGGGGTAAAGACAACGTATTTGATGATAAAATAAAATCAAATTAACAAAATAATTTGAAAAATAAGAAATAAAAAATAAAAAAAAGTTCTACATACATATGTACATATTTCCATACAAAATGAAACATTTGCATTTCATATGGAATATCAAAGAAATTATTTTTCTTTAATATTCTCTATTTCGGTGTATCATCATGTGCATGCATATATATGTACATATATTTATATCTTTTCTCTTCATATTCTCTGGCTTCGGCATATATGCCATTTCATCATATGCCGTTAATACATATATTTATTTCTCTTCATATTCTGGGTTAAATATGTGGAGAACTGTTAAAATTTAACAGCGTGACTTCTGTTGTTATGAGGTGAATTCTCTAGTATAAATCTAACAAATGTTCGCAGTCGAACCTGCACCTTCTCTATACTTTACGTTCTCTGGTTTGAGACAGTCCCAATTTTTGAAAACGTTTTGGAATCGACAAATTGCGATCTTCAGAAACACTTGTCTGAACGGTAGAATCATTTTCATTACCATTTATACCTATTACCAAATGGCCCAAAACGGCACTTAGAAATCATATCATACCTATTTGAAAAGTGGCAAAATGGCAACTTGGGTTAAATGAGCGGCCCGTGGCAGCTTTGCAATAAGTTGGCTGTTTTTAATTATTAAAAGTATAAATAAAAATGTAGAGAATTAAATTATGGGAAATAGCAAAGTTAAAATTTAATCATTGTTGATTTCGGCTGGGATATAGAGCAGCACCCTCCGATTGCGGGATTAAAATGGGTAAATAGAGCAAAACTAACTTTAATCTTTCGTTGAAATCCATTTTTATCAATAGCCAAATGGTTCCATGCAAAGAACAAAAGTGATACTACATTGCAAACGAATAAAATTATATATAGAAGAAGATCTTATAGGAACTAGATGAAAACAGATTTAGGAAAATTAAATTAAAGCCCACCGTCAACAAACTGATTGGACCTTATCAGTGTGGCTTTGGACTTGGAAAATCAACAACTGACTAGATATTCACCATGCGCCAAATCTTGGAAAAGAACCTTGAAAAGAGAATTGACTCGCACCACCTTTTCGTCGATTTCAAAGCTACTTTTGACAGCACGAAAAAGAGCTGCATTTATCCCGCAATGCCTGAGTTTTGTATCTCCGCAAAACTATTGTGGCTGTGTAAATTGACGTTGAGCAACATTAAAAGCTCCGTCAGGATCGGGCTCTCCGAGCCGTTCGATAACAAACGAGGTTTCAGAAAAGGCTGCCTTGCGTGTGACTTCTTCAACCTACTTCCCGAGAAAATATTTCGAGCTAGCTGCAGAATTAAACAGAGAGTAAAAGTGTACAGCTGCTGGCGTATGCTGATGATATTGATATCATTGGCTTTAACAACCGCGCCGAAGGTTATTCTTTCTCCAGAATGAATAGAGCAGCGAAGCAAATGGACCTGGTGGTGACCGAGCCAGCAGGTGATACTTTGGATAATTGAGAAGTAAAGTCCCTCTCTACGAACAAAAACCAAACTGTGTAAGTCACTCATTATTCCCGTCTTGTTATATGGTGCAGAAGCTCGGACGACGAAACCATCTGATAAGTTGACGTTACGAGTTTTCGAGAGAAAAGTTCTGCGGAAGATTTCAGGTCCATTGCGCGTTGGCCACGACGAATATCGCATTCGATGGAACGATGAACCATTGAAATATTTCATATAATTAAAAGTCAGCGGCTACGCTGGCTAAGTCATGTCGTCCGAATGGACCGAAACGGTCCAGCTCTGAAAGTATTCGACGCAGTACCCGCTGGGGGAATCAGAAGAATAGGAAGACTTCCACTGCGTTGGAGGGACAAGGCTGCTGGCTTCACTTGGAATTTCCAATTGGCGCCACCTTGCGAAAAATAAAAAAACTGGCGCTGTTGTTAACTCGGCTTCAACCGCGTAAGCGGTTTCTACTTTAGTAAAGTAGAAGAAATTTATTCTATTAAGACTCAGGGAGTGTGGTAGGTTATTCAGATGGCGTTCATGATGTATGCATTTTTAATAATTTTGGATTATCAAATGAATCAGATAAAAATTTTGAAGGAAGTGAATGAATCGCAGGTGACTGTACATTTAAATTATATAGCACTGTTATAACGGCATTTAAAGTGAATTTTAAGAATTTAACACAAAGCCAAAGAAATATTTTTAACAAAGTATTCAGTCGCTATAAGTCGAGAAGAATAAACAAATGAATTTTCTGTTGCGCATTGCCACACATCCTTATACGGCAGCAAGATGATCATTTCGATTACCAAATTGAAGAATGTGAGCACAAATTAACGAGTCAGTGCTCGTGTCAGTGAATGGAAAATAAGGCGACGAACAATCTTTGAACTGTTATATAATACAAACAATCAAAAAATATATATAAATCTTACAGAAAACTCAGTTGCTTATTTATTTTTTTAAACTAAATTCAATTTCTTTACGAAAACATAAAAATTTCTACCCTATATATACAGTAATTAAAGTGCGTTTATAAAAAAAGTATTAAATATTATTTTAATTAAAAAAACTTGAGAATATTAACAACATAAAATTATTTAACCGGTCGGTATAACTTAACCTAATCTAATAAGACTTATTCGATCATATTGCTAAAACTAGGCGAGGAGCAATTTAAACGAGCAGAGCTATACAACGATTGAGATTTTAAGAAATTTTGTTGCAAAAATGCACTATATCGGATCGACATATCGGACGTTTAAAAATTTACGAAACAGCTTCTCGTCTTTAAAAAAGTACCTCTTTGTAATTTACTTCAAAGTATGTGTCCTCAGAATGCACTAAGTTGAGTAATTAGATAATAGCCTCAAAAATATATTTTTTGGCTATATCAAATTTCAAGAAACCGTGAACAATGAAATACATTAGGGCAGTTTAGAATCTGGTGTCAATAGTTTTGCAACTGCAAATTAGCGAGCATATTTTTGCTTTTGCACTAATATTCCTTGCAAGGGAGCAACACTACAACGCCATTAGCCGTGTTTTATTTGACCATCACAAGCTAATAGCTAAATCATGGACAAATAAAACGCACTTAGCTTATTCCATATATTTGCTTAAAAATTAATTGTGTTGGCATTGCGTACTAGAGCAATCAGCTGATATACAATTTAGTTTTAAATTTCAAATTTTTAAACCAAATAGTAATATACTATACAAATATATTTATTTATTTGAGGTCTAGAATACAAAAAACTGAAAACAAGTGTTCATATTTGTTTTAATTTTAACTCAATACTTATCCAAAAAATTTATAATTTTGGTTTGTTTACATTTTTATCTGTCAAAATGAGGTTTCTCGCTATTACCAACTATTTTTTTTTTTGGAAAAAGCTTAGCTATTGTGAATGAAAACAAGCGATGAACTGGCAATGCCTCTAATTTAATATACAAGTTATGATAGCTTATGACAAGCCAACATAATTATGTTGGCTAAGTTTTCTATACAAAGTTTAATTACTGGTCAAATAAAATACACCTATTGATTATGTGCAACACTGGTTTGCAAATTATCAGCAGTTGTCGAAAATAAAAACATTGTAAAAAAAGAAGAATTACAAAAAATAAAAAAATGCTTAAGAAGAGAAAAGCCAAGTAAAAAGAAATTCAAATTATAAAGGATTTCTTGCAGGAAGCTCCAGAAGTAGAGGTAAATGAAACTTTTGCAGAGAGCACTTATTAATTAATTTATTAAACCATAATTTTTATTTTAATAGGCATCAAAAGCTCAAATATTTTGCAAAAAACTAATTTCTAATTCTTTGAGAAGTGCGGCACCTAAAAGCTTCGTTTAAAAAAGCAAGCGATTGACGAATGTCAACTGCAGCAGGCCTTTTCAAGTCCTATGCTGGGACATCGAGTGTTGAAGGTAAGCGAAATGAATGCGACGAAATTTTATCTAATGTTTATTTTTCGGGCAAAGTGCTGTTGTGTGCCCACAATTTAATCAACTTAAATATATTTTCGGAGCAAAATCCATAAGTGGATTGCTGTTTGAAATGATTGATAGTGGCAGACGTCCGTTATGAGCGAAAGCACGGCCAGCCAAATACTTGAAATCACTTTTCTGATGTCGGCGAAGAAAGTGAGTATCCAATTGACACTACCAACAATGCAAATCTGCGATCAGGCAATATAAGTGAAATAATTGTTCCTGAAAAAGCCAAAGATTTCGAGGGAAAAATTAAAAAAACATGTCTCAAAGCAATCTGCTGCAAATCTTGTTGCTTTTCAAGTCTAGAGTATAGAAATGTTAAAAATCAAAATTGAGTGGGAAAAAGAAAGCATGAAAAAGCTCACGCTTTGAGTGAAAGAAGATTGCAAGCAGAGATTGAAAGATATAAACCTGAAATAGAATTAAGAACTGTGAGCTGTGTTTTAGAATTGGAAAAAGACAAAAAATTGAAAAAACTTCAAATAGAAAAGGAAGCATGCTTACATAAGTTCGAAATTGAGATAAAATATAAGTATTTCTCTCAACAGGAATTAATTTCTCTTTGTACTTTATTTATCTTTTTATTTTTAAATGTTTACTCCAATTACTCTATTTTAATTTCAGCTTGCGGTCTTCTATCTCAAAGCGTAATCTTTTTAATGTTTAGCTTGAACTAAATACGTAAATTGAAATAACCATTTATTTTGTATAGAATAATTTTATTTAAAAGTATATGAAATTAAAAAACTGACAAATGAATTAAAATACATTTGAGAAAACATTAATTCATATATGGCTTGTCTTTAAATTTCTCCACCATTGTTGGGTATATGGACGGACGGATCTAAACCGTCTTCGAAAGAAGTAGAACCTTTTATAAACCAATCGCAGCTTAATTTATGTTTTTTTTTTGTTAAACACACGCATCCTTAGCTGCTTAAGGCTTCCAAATCTATCTTTCAGAAGCCCAAAACAGTGCTCTACTCTAACCCGGTATTTGCTATGCTGTAGATTAAATGCAACTTGGTCGTTTCTATCCAACTGCCTTGCGTTGCTTCTGTAGGGGCTCCGCAGCAAACCATTGCTGTGAAGAAAAATAATGCTCATTTTGCTCTCAGCTCCCAGGGAGACAAATCACAATATGTAAAAACTTGTTCATAGTCACAAACTAATTGTGCTTTTATTGAATAAATGTGATTCTGTAGAAGTACGATGTATGGTCTTCGATTGGCGATTCTGCTAATTTAATCTCGGTTCTATCAATATATCCAATACAAAACGGCAACTCATCAAAGGTATCCCATACTATTTGTATGTTTTTTTATGAAATCAACCAGAGTCTATATCTGGTCACTATCTTCTATTAACGTTTCACGGAATCGGCCTTCGTCCAGTGTCGTCAAAATATTATTGCGCCAAATGTCTAACCTAAGTGTTGTACTGTAAATTCCTCGACGAAACTCCTTAACAACAGATATATTGTCAACCAATTCATCTAAAACTACATCCACTGCGTCATCACTTCGATTTCTAGAAGAAAATTGTTATTGACTGAAACTTCGCATAAAAATATTTCTTACCTTGTGTCCATAATTTCTTCAGCAGCGGCATATTTTCCAACTTGTGCGAAAATTTTGTTTACAAACAATGTTTTTCTTCACAGATCAACTGCGAATTAACGGTATTTGCAAGGGTTGTACAGAATCTACAAAAAAGACGTTCATTGTTAATAGTAAATATTTGCAATTGTATAATTTTGCAAACTCAGATGCACAAGATTCTGAATTGCCCTTTTAGTAAAGGGGGTGAGTCCAAGGTGCAAAATATGCACCATCTCAGTTATCGCACTATTTTCTAATATCAAAATCGTTAAGAGTTCTCTCATTCGGAATCCTAAAGATTGGCTTCAGATTGCTATAAACCAGCGGTGAAAGGAAGAACACGCCTATAGCCAGTGTTTTAAAATAATTTTCTCATCTTGGAAAAATAGTACAAAGTGAACTTTTACATTAAAAATATCGTCTGTCAGCTTCAATTCATTTCTAATCTTTTATATATCCTTCTAAAAAAGGAGCGGACAGACTGGCCCCTACACACTTATATGGTGTTAAGAAATATATCAGACGGACTGATTAATGGACTTGTAAAAGATGGTTCAAGATATGCATCTGAAATAATTGGGATATTATTTTTTTATGTGTTCCGTAAAACTGTGTAAATATTTTGAACCGTTGGTTTCTGTAATAAGTTCGTAATGTGATAAAATATAATAATACATAAACATGAATTTTACCTTAAATTTGTCAATGCTACCCTTTACATTGTCAGAGACAATCGTGAGCCAGTCTCTGATTTGGTGTTCTCTCCACCCAGACGTGTCATTTATCCGTCATGGTTTTTTCTATAAATAATTAACAAATTTAGTTTGAAAAATCAAATAATTTCATATTATATTTAAATTTTCTTACATTTACAATTTTAACACGAAGGAGTCACAACGCGAGAAACGAGTAAACGATAAGGATTTGCGACAAACTGTCAGGAATGCCACTGGAAATAGAATCTCGAGGTCGCAGAATAAATTGCGTGTTTTGCGAAGTTTGCGTATTAAATGAGTATCACTATACCCGGCTCAGAATACAATAAGTGCAATCATTCAGATGATATACGCATAGTAATAACTAAGAAGGATATTTGTACATTTATATCTTCGTCGTAAGTCTAATATTTAATGGGTACTTAAATTAGTTACATGCTAATTTTTTAATGTAACTATTAAAACTGTATCGATCTTTGTACCGCATATTGTGGTTGTTATATTTTATTTAAAAGTAAAATTTTCAAGTACTTTGTATTAAAATCACCAGATAAAATAACTGGAATTCGCATTTATATATTTCGAGAATGGAAAATTCGTATATATACTTGGCACATTTTATTTCGAGATCTTAAATTGAAAGCGTCTATGCAAGAACTGAAGCCACTGAACCTTCCCAAGCGACATCTCTTCGCTCTATGGGCTCTTGAAAAGTTCAGGAGATGCGATGTTTTAAAGCCATTTTTTTTAGCAATGAGGCCTAAACAGGTATGTAAAAAAGCAAAATTGCAGCATTTGAAACGAGAAAACCGGAAAAGATTCAAAAATGATGTCGATGAGAACGTTACCGTCAATGGCGACCGCTATCGCGCCATGATATTGAATTGAATTATTCATCGAAAATTGGACTCAATGAATGGACCGTCTGAAACGTAGACGCAGACAACAAGAAAGAGGTATTATTCAAAAAATAAATGCTATAGAATGTTTTTTCAAATGATAATGAACATTACTCATTAAATTTGAAGTTTATGTTTCTATAAAAAATTAGGGAAACTCGAAATTGATCACTTTTTGTTGATCATAAGCCAGGACACATACCCTAACATATACGGTATTTAGACTATAAGTACGCAAACCTCAAACGCATGCTATGGTTGAGACAATAGACGCGCTCACGCAGATCGAAGTCAAATCTGGTCTGGCGTTATCAATAATAGACAAATTATTCAGTTGTTGTTGATGTTGCAATAGATAAAGTAGGTCAAGTACGCAGACGTATGAAGTCGAAGGAATAACAATAATAACAAATATAATGAAATAAATATTAAATTACCATGAAAATGGCAGCACCTATGTCCGTTTTGGATAAATCTCTATATTTTTTCGTCTAGCGCCTATTTCTTTAGACTCCGTGCTCTTAGGTTTCCTTATAAAAACCTCTACCTTACAGTCATATCGCTAACCGCTGGACTTAGTTCAGCATTTATCTGCCTGGCCCATTTGAAAAGCGACTTGACGAATTTATTGAAATGTATAAATCTTTGCTATCGTTGTGGCATGTAAAAAGCAAAGATTATTGTAATAGAATTAAAAGGAATAATGCTTATGCGACTTTAATCGAAAAATTAAAAGAAGTAGATCCTGATGCCACAAAGGATACAGTTATAAAAAAAATAAGTAGTTGGCGCGCGCAACACCGGCGTGAAGCAAAAAAACAAAAGAGATAATTTGAAGTCTGGTGCTGGTGCTGAGGATGAATATGTTCCTACTCTTTGGTGCTATGATTTGCTATGCTTTTTGAAAGATCAAGAAGAACTTTGGCAGGCGTTACCACAATGCAGGATGAAAATTTGAGGTAAGAAAAAAAGTCAAAATTTTATTGTTTCTTTTTTTTTTTTTTGGTGAACACAAACATTCATTTTGTTTTTATTCCGCAAATGATTCACTTTCTTATATTTAATATATTGTTCTGCCACGGAACTGCTCAGACTGTATTAAAATAATTACAATATTTTTCTCGAGTAGTTTTTGCTAAATTGGATGCATTCTTTGCACTTGAAGCTTGAAGAGCTGTAAGTCCATGGTCATTATGCCAATCGGCGTATTCTATCGTTCCGGGATCTGTTTCTTCAACATCGAATCCACCTTCAAAATACGTCTCCTCATTTTGCCTCCGTAAAAAGGAGCAACAGGTTAACACAATTTTCGTGACTTTTTCTGGTGATAAATTAATAGTTTGTAGGAGAATTCTAAATCTTGATGCTAAAATGCCAAAACAGTTTTCAACAATTCTTCTCGCCCGAGAAAGCCTGTAGTTAAAAATTATTTTTTCTTCTGAGGGTCAGGAATTTTCAACGTTTTATTTTTAAGAGATGAAAAAAAATTTGTTTCGTTTGCATCAGCACAAGTTATGTCCGATTTCTGTCATTAATGCACCTACTATTTCCGAAGCAGACGTCTTATATCAGTTAAATATGTTAGAACAATCATACAATTATGGCCCAGATATGATTCCCTCATGCTTTCTTAAGAAACGTGCCAAATATATATACCAACCCCTAACAAAACTATTTAATTCATCTCTCATGCAAGGCGTATTTCCATCCATATGGAAAAAGTCATTTGTAATTCCTTTACATAAGAGTGGATTTAGGTCATCTATTGAGAACTATAGGGGAATAGCAAAGTTGTCTGCAATACCTAAATTTTTTGAAGCAATTATAACAGACTACATTTTCGGATCTCTCTACTAATTTCTTGTTCTTAGCACGGTTTGCGTAAAAGGAAATCTACAATAACAAATTTGCTTAAATTTGTATCACATGTATCAACGGGCTTTAGGGAGAATAAGAACACTGATGTTATATATACAGATTTTAGTAAAGCTTTTGATAAAGCATCCCATTCAATTTTCTTGAATAAACTTGATCTTCTTGGTTTTCAACCAATACTTCTAAAATGGGTTGCTTCTTATCTTAGGAATAGAATTCAACAAATCATATTTAACGATACTTTTTCTGACATAATCAATGTTTCTTCAGGCGTTCGTCAAGGTAGCCATCTTGGCCCAATTCTGTTCTTGTTATTTATTAATGACATATCATCTGTTGTTAAGTTTTCAAAAATTTTATTATATGCTGACGGTGTAAAACTTTTTAAAACGTACATATACTTCATACAGCGAAAGATGTCAGTTGCAAACAGACTTAAACAACCTAGTTTCTTGGTGTGATAGAAATGACATGCCATTGAATCTTAAGAAATGTAAAACGATGTGTTTTTCAAGTAGATCTGTAGACCCTCTTTATACGCAATACAAAACTTTAGGTTGGAGCAAATATGCAATTCTGCTGATCTATGAGTAACTATGGACCCCAAATTGAATTTTAATCTTCACGCATCTTCCACGGTTTTTAAAGCTAAAGGCGCTCTTTGTTTTGTTAAACGTTGATCTAAAGAATTTAGAGATCTGCTTACCACGAAAATTCTTTTTACATCCCTGGTGAGGCCTATATTAGAGTATGCATCTGTGGTTTGGAACCCTAGTTACCAAGTCCATTCGGATAAGTTAGAATCCGTTCAAAAACAATTTTTACTTTTTGCCTTAAATCATTTGCATTGGAATCCCAGTTTAAATCTTCCCCCATACACTAATCGTTTAAAACTTAGAAATCTCCCAACACTCGCTAGTCGTAGGGAGATGCTTGGTATAATATTTATTGTAAAACTCATGAATGGGTCAGTCTATAGCCCATCTCTTTTATCTGATATTAATTTTAACGTTCGCCTTCGCTTTACCAGACAGTTTAGACCCTTACTTTTAAAATTTTATAGAACACATTTTGAGCTAAACGAACCATTCCGCCGCATATGTCATGATTTCAATTCTCATTACCATTAAAAAAATTATTCTATATAATCTTAATAAGTAATATTTAAAAATTATAAAATTTAATTTTAATTCTTAATTTTGGCTGTTGAAATTTTTGTTTCTGTAGCTGAGCAGCTTAAGGTCGCAACGCTTAAAACTCTCTTGCCTTTTATGACTCGGCTATTTCCGCTCGTTCGCGGATGGCGCCCCTCGCGTCGGTTGGGCGGGAGGAGGGTAATCGTTGGGTATTATTATTATTATCATTAAAAAGGCCGGCATCAGACGCTCTTCCGTTTGTGCCAACATCCACCATCAAAAACTCGTAATTAGCATTAACCACTGCCATTAAAATGATGGAATTTTTTTTTTTTATAATTATAATAAAAAGATCCAGATCCAGGTGGCTTTGTTATATTGACGTGTTTTCCATCAATTGCGCCCATACAATTTGGGAAGTTCCAGAGTGCATCAAAATTTCTCGCTTCTACCTTCCAATTTTTTCTGTTTCTGGAAGCTGTATATAGTGAAATGGAGGCAAATATTAACACTAAATGTCATTCCGCAATACCCAATGCGCACGTCTACGCAACTTAACTACGCGGTGCCCCAATACATGCAGAATTATACAATAAGAGTTCCGACTCCTTTAAGTAGCGGCTCGTCCATAAACAGTAGTAGAATGTCACCTCAAGTCACACGAAACATACGAATCGTTGAAGATACATCATCCATTAATTTGAGCTCGGTTGAAAACTTCCAAAATTTCTTTGCATCGTTTGAAACTTACGAAAAATTTATTTTTACTTTTACTTCAAAAAACCAATAATTTTCAGACACACATATGTACACATGAAACTTTTCTTGTTTAGTCGAAAACAAATAATTTAATCAATAAATAATTACCTTAATAAAATCTTTCAATTGACTTATTATGGCATCACAAATCTCTGTAACTATTTTCCCAATCGTTTGGGGCGCAATTGCTGTCAAAAATTTTAAGTCTTCAAAGCTATTGCCACTAGCTAGAAAGCGCAAAGTTAAAGCAAGGCGGTGATGAGGGGGAATCGCTTCTCTCATTATTGTATCCCGTTTCGTTATGAGTAGCAAAATTTTTTGTAAAAGTTGGTCAAATGTTGCCTTGCTCATACGAACGTAATTTTTAAAATCATTTTGTAACATGAATTCAAGTTCTTTAATAAGCTCACTTCGT